TTATATTATAAATCGCGTGCATTTAAGGCTCGGCACTTTACAAACTCCATATGAATTGTGGAAGGGATTAAAACCTAATGTAAAATACTTCAAAACTTTTGGGAGTAAGTGTTACATATTCAAAGATAGAGAGCCTTTGGACAAATTTGACTCCTGAAGTGATGAAGGTATTTTTCTAGGGTATTCAACCGCTAGTAGGGCTGTTCGAGTCTATAACCTGCGAACTTCTTCTTTAATGGAATCGATCAATGTGGTTATAGATGACACAGATTCCCCTACTCCAGCAACAAATGAGGATGAAAATGGTGAGTCTCCAATCCTAGATACTGAACCACAAAGTCAAAGAGAAGTTGAGGTCCAAGCACAAGAAGTTGAGACAACACCATCTTCTCAAGTAAGTCAGAGTCCAAAGAGTACACATAGAGACACCACTTCTGATGCTTCTGTCACCACAGGTCCTAAGTTCAAACCATTAGCAAGGGTGAAACTGAATCATCCAGCTCAACAGGTGATTGGAAGTGTATTGGATTAAATGAAAACCCAAAGACAAATTCGAGATAGGGTATCACATATGTGTTATGTTTCATTAATTGAACCTAAGAATATTAAAGAGGCCTTACTAGATGATAGTTGGGTGAATGCCATGCATGAAGAATTAGGTCAATTTGAACGTAACAATGTTTGGACTCTAGTTCCCAGACCTAAAGACATGAATGTGATAGGTACCAAGTGGATCTTTAAAAATAAATCTGATGAGAATGGTATTGTGGTTAGAAATAAAGCCAGGTTGGTTGCTCAAGGCTACACACAAGTAGAGGGTGTTGACTATGATGAGACGTTTGCCCCAGTTGCACGTCTCGAATCTATTCATATTTTACTTGGTGTTGCATGTTTTCTTGGTTTCAAATTGTATCAAATGGATGTGAAAAGTGCCTTTTTGAATGGGTACATGAAAGAAGAGGCTTATGTTGAGCAACCAAAAGGGTTTGAGGACCCTAAATGTCCAAACCATGTCTACAAGTTAGACAAGGCTTTGTATGGGTTGAAACAAGCCCCTCGGGCTTGGTATGATAGACATACTACCTTTCTTCTTGATAATGACTTTCAAAGGGGTAGTGTGGATAAGACTTTATTTGTGAAACATACTAAGCCTCATATTTTTGTTGCTCAGATTTATGTTGAAGATATTGTGTTTGGATCCACTGTTGATCATCTTGTGAAATATTTTTCGGATTACATGACACATGAGTTTGAGATGAGCATGATGGGAGAGTGTCTTATTTCTTGGGTCTTCAAATTAAACAGTCTTCTTCGGGTATGTTTGTTTCTCAGACTAAGTATGCCAAAAATCTTGTGTCAAAGTTTGGTCTTAAGTCTGCTAAACATGCACGCACTCACATGAGCACCAGTCTTCACCTTTCCAAAGATTCCTTTGGTATTGATGTTGATCCTACCCTTTATAGGAGTATGATAGGGAGTCTTCTTTACCTCACAGCCAGTCGTCCTGATATTTCTTTCAATGTAGGTGTTCGTGCCCGTTACCAAGCCAGTCATAAAAGGTCTCATCTTCTTGCAGTAAAACGCATCATTAAATATGTTAATGGGACATTGGGGTATGGGGTTTGGTTTTCTACTGATACTACAGCTGAAATTACTGGTTTTTCTGATGCCGACTGGGCAGGGTGTGCTGATGATAAGCAAAATATATCCGGTGGGTGTTTTTACCTTGGGAATAATTTGGTTTCCTGGCATAGTAGAAAGCAAAATGCCATCTCCATTTCGACTGCTGAGGCTGAGTACATTGTTGCAGGGAGTTGTTGTGCACAAATGTTGTAGATGAAGCAAATGCTTCATGATTATGGAATAGATCAGAACACTCTTACTCTTCTCTGTGATAACACAAGCACCATAAACATTTCAAAAAATCCTGTCCAACACTCTCGCACCAAACACATTGACATTCGTCATCATTTTATTCAAGAGTTAGTGGAAGAAAGCCTCGTTGTTCTTGAACATGTACCCACTGAGCATCAAAAAGTTGATATTTTTACAAAACCCCTTGATCTTCTTCGGTCTGAGCTCCTTAGAAAGACCTTGGGTGTCATGCTCAGTCACTAGGGTGTTACCTCTTACTTGAGGGGGAGTGAGTGATCGTTTTTATGTGTACTTGAGTGCTATAATCTCATTGTCATTGATTCTTGTCATCTTTGCATCTAAATGTATATGAACATTGATCATACTGCTTACAAGATCTCATTCTTCTTTGTTCATAGCTCATCTAAATGTAAATGTCATTCTGTACACATGCTTGAGATAAACTGTTGCAGGGGTTTCCGCACCAGTGATCAAAGTTCTCTATGGACCACTAATAGTGTTTCTTGTGCTTTTTCAGAGGAATTGACCTATACTAGTATATCATGGGTGATGTTGAGCCTCTTAACCATCTACCATCATTTTTCACTTCCACGGTTTCTCCCTTAGTTCCTTGAAGTCTAGGCATTAGGAAAAGGCTATCTCAGAGGCACCAACCAGGCCATCCTTTTTTATTTCATTCTTCTCTGGTTTGGTCTCCATACTCTTGAGCGTGCATGCCACCATCGAGTGCCCATAAGAAAGAAAGGTTGAAAAAAAAATGATAAAAAAAAGGACTCATTGATTAAGGGGGAGCTTCTGCGTTTACTCAACAAATACCCCGTGATTTTTAGTGGTTTAACTTTTCTCTGTGATGTTTAATTACTCTTGCCAGAGGTCTAGCCATTCGATCACTACGAGGATTAACTCTAGCTCTGTGGCCTCTCATGGATTGCACACACACACTTTCATTTTGTGAGCTCTCATGTTGGTTTCTAAGTTGTACATTCTCATGTAGTTTATGATCATTGACTATATTTTATCTGAATTGCTCATGATTATTTGTTTCATATTGTCAAAATTGCAAGTTTGTGGGCTTCATGGTTTGTAGATTATTTCATCTTAGTATCACCTTCATGCTATTGTGCTCACTTACTTGTGTTTCAGGTTCCATTTCATAGTGTGAGTAGTGTGTTCAGTGCTTAGAAAGTGTTGTTCTGTTTTTTTCCTTCTTCGCTCGAGCGAAGGATTTCTCGCTCGAGTGTGCTTCTGCTGATGGCTTAGATCTGAGAGCGTGCTTTTTTTGCTTGAGCGACAAACTCTTGGCTCGAGCGACCCTTTGTGCATAAGTGTCTTCGCTCGAGCGATCTGTCGAGGTATAAATTCTGATGTTGATTCTTTTCACGTAATTTTTTCTTCCCTCCTTCTTCGTGTTCTCTCTCTCTCTCTCTCACCTAGGGTTTTGTTTGCCTCCATTGCTGGTATCTTCTTTGGTTTTAACTCGTTGTTTTTGGGGCATCACTACTTCATTCATCTAGCATTGTCATTATTTGGTAAGTTTTTTTTCTTTTCCTTTATTCTTTTTCTTGTACTCTGTTTTTTTTTTTTTTTTTTTTTTTTTTTCCTCTGTTTTTTTTTTTTTGTGTTGTCTGCTCTACTGTGTCGATGCTTCTAGGGTTCTAAGTTGTTGGTTTTATTTCTTCCATTATGTTCTCTTATCTCTCAATTGCATGTTGCTTTGGTGAGTTTGGTTCATTTTTGCTAAGTTTTAGAGCCAGGGTAAAAATTAGTGCATTATTTTCTTTATACTGTCATGTGTGTCATATGCTAATTCATGTGGTCAAAGTGGTATCTTCTTTGGTTTTAACTCATGTTTTTTAGGGCATCACTCCTTCATCCATCTAGCATTGTCATTTTTTGGTAAGTTTTTCTTTTCTTTTCCTTTATTTTCTTTCTCGTCCTCTGTTTTTTTTTTTTTGTGTTGTCTGCTCTACTGTGTCGATGCTTCTAGGGTTCTAAGTTGTTGGTTTTATTTCTTCCATTATGTTCTCTTATCTCTCAATTGCATGTTGGTTTGGTGAGTTTGGTTCATTTTTGCTAAGTTTTAGAGCCAGGGTAAAAATTAGTGCATTATTTTCTTTATACTATCATGTGTGTCATATGCTAATTCATGTGGTCAAAGTGGTATGCACTGATGTTGATTGTCCTACAATTGCATTTGTTGGAATTGAACCTAGCTCTGTTCTACCTATCATTGATATTATGCTATGGTTCTATGATTTTGATATTTTTCTAACACTGTTGGATTACTAATGTTTTGTTGTGCTCTGTTGTTTGGTTTTGGGGGTTCTAATGTTTTTTTTTTGGTCCAATGTGGTATGGTTTAGTGGGTGTTTTCTCTGGATTTTTTGTTCTCTTGTTGTTTAGTCATGGGTGAGCCGTCAAAGTGTCGTAAAACCACTGTGTCCCGCCCAAAATTCAACATAGAAAAATTTGAATCCATGGAAAAATCCAAACTGTTTAGAGAGTTCTATGCCTCTAGGAAAGTCCACCTTGAAAGGAATGTTCTTCCTAGTGCATTTGAGTTGCTACCTATTCGTCCGTTGTTTGATTCCTTAGGGGGTGATCAGGTGTTGATTTTTTCAGGGCCTCAAAATCTTAGTCTTGCTCATGAGTTTTATTGTAATATGAATTCTATCCATAAGGAACTTGCTCCCTGTTTTAGCACCTGGGTTAGGAAGAAAACTTTGGTTATCACTGAGATGTTTTTCGGTTGTTTCTTGGTCTACCGGAAGTCCATGATTTTCATTATCCTTTTCTTAGTAGCAGTGGTGTTAACTTTGATCAAGTTGCCACTGAGCTTTGTGGCACTCCCCGGACTTGGATTGCCGGGGCGCTCATTCAACAAAATGAGCTTCTTCCTTGTTTTCGTCTTCTCAACCTCATTGTCTGTGCTAATATTCATGTGACCCCTCATTCCTCTCACATTACCCAAGATCAGGGGTATGTGTTATATTGCATTGATCACCGTCTACCTATTGACTTGCCCACAATGATCGTCACCAAAATGATCTTCGTTTTTCAGGGACGTAAGTCCTTAGGTCTTCCTTATGGGTGTTTTCTCATTTGATTTCTTACTTCTCTTGGAGTTCCTACCTATGATAATGATGAGTTTGCTTCTCCTGTTAAACCCATTACTAAGTTGACAGTCTCACAGAGTCAAGCTCATGTCCGGGGGGGTGTGTTGGGAGTTGGGGTGTATGGAGTGTCTGATATAGGTGATAATTCCCTTGCTGAGGAGGCGGAGTTTGATGCAGTCCCTACTGATCCACCTGAGATGCTAGAGATGTGTCCGCGTTCGTTTCGTGGCCAGCTGCAGTAGTTTGAGCAGTCAGTCATGCTTTGGCTTGATCGGTTGGATGCTCGAATGGATACACTTGATGGTCATCTTGATGAGTAGAGCACGATGCTAGCCCAGATTCTTTCCTTGCTCCAGATGCAGCAGCCACCTCCATCAGACTCCTAGTTTTTGACTATTTGGACTATGGTTTTTGGACAGTTTTTGTTATTTTCTTGGACAATTTTTATTCTGGTTTGTATATAATTGTTTCTTTTGTCTCTCCCGGACAAATAGGGGGAGCATTTGGTTAATTTTTTGGGGGTATATATGGGATATCTGATATGTGGGATATTGATTTTGTATACTCATGATGGCTTTTGCAGGTAGCATTGGACTAGTTTTTGTATGGGATATTCTTTTGGGCATCTAGTTTATTATGTCTTGATGGTTTTTTATATTGAATAACAATTCTCTCTATTTTCAGTTTTGCAGATTTCCATCAAGATTGTGTGGATAGTTGGTTTGTTTTTCATTGACTTGGTTTGTGTAGTTAGTACATTTGTTTTCTAGGAAATTGTGTTAGAAAGTTTTGTCCGGGAATTGACAAAGGGGGAGATTGTTAGGTCCCTTAGTCTTGTCAATCCCATGGACAAGCTTGGTTTTATCGAGTCATAATTTTTCTAAGTTTTTTGTCTTCCTCGCTCAAGGAATGAGTCCTCGCTCGAGCGAAGGCAACATCTGAAAAAAAACCTGAGAAGGATGAATGTACGCTCGAGCACAGGTAGCGTGGCTTGAGCGAAGCCACTTAAGGAAAACACGCAAGATTAGTTCCTCGCTTGAGCGAGAGAGTCTTCGCTCGAGCGAGCTTCGCAGTCCTAGATTTCTATAAGTATCTGTTTTAGTCCTAAACTAGGATTACGTTTTAGGACTAAAGAAACAATTATATACCTAGTTTAATACTCATGTATTGATAAGGTATGGGATATTCTTTTGGGCATCTAGTTTATTATGTCTTGATGGTTTTTTATATTGAATAACAATTCTCTCTATTTTCAGTTTTGCAGATTTCCATCAAGATTGTGTGGATAGTTGGTTTGTTTTTCATTGACTTGGTTTGTGTAGTTAGTACATTTGTTTTCTAGGAAATTGTGTTAGAAAGTTTTGTCCGGGAATTGACAAAGGGGGAGATTGTTAGGTCCCTTAGTCTTGTCAATCCCATGGACAAACTTGGTTTTATCGAGTCATAATTTTTCTAAGTTTTTTGTCTTCCTCGCTCAAGCGAATGAGTCCTCGCTCGAGCGAAGGTAACGTCTGAAAAAAACCTGAGAATGATGAATGTACGCTCGAGCGCAGGTAGCGTGGCTCGAGCGAAGCCACTTAAGGAAAACACGCAAGATTAGTTCCTCGCTTGAGCGAGAGAGTCTTCGCTCGAGCGAGCTTCGCAGTCCCAGATTTCTATAAGTATCTGTTTTAGTCCTAAACTAGGATTACGTTTTTGAGATCCACTTTAAGGTTTTCTAAGGTTTTCTTTGAGAGTTTTTTGTGAGTTTTCCTTGATGATTTGAGTGAGTATTAAACTCATGTATTGATAAGCACATATCAAGGAGATTGATTGGTAATATTCAAGAGTGTTTTTCTTTAGTGGAATCCGAAGATTCAAGTGTGGAGTTTCAAAGGAGTTTGATATTGTGCGTAGTCGTTGATTCGACAAGTGAAGTTGTGGATTCAACTTCAGGTTAATCAATTTCGAGACGAAGGTTGCGGTGAAAGATATACAGAAGATTTGAAGACAAATTGAAAGCGTTTGGGTAATTTGTTTGTTATCTTTATAATCTTTCTTTCTTCAGTAGTGGATTGATTAGTAGCGTTTCGCCCGTGGTTTTTTTTATCACAATTGAAGGTGCTTCAATTGTGGTTTTTCCACATAAAAATCATTTGTGTCGATTTATTATTTTTCGAAAACAACAATCTAAATCACTTTCATAAGTGCTTGATGATTTAGATTGTGTGTTGAATGATATGGAATTGGAATAATTAAATCTTGATCTAATCACGAATCACTTAGGATTTTCAGACCCTTTCAACCGGTTGTCCTCATTGGCTAGTGAGAATTGTTGTCAATGGGCTGGTGTTATCTGCGACAACTTAACTGGCCACGTCCATGAGATCCATCTTCGTAATCCTTACAATGAAAATTCCATTTACAAGTTAGGAGGTAAATTAAATCCTTCTATGCTCAATTTGAAGCACCTTCATTACCTATCTCAGGCCAGATTCAGCAGAACCATTCCCCATCAACTAGGAAATTTGACCATGCTGCATTATCTTGGTCTCGGAGGTATTTTTAACTATGGTGAACAACTACATGCTAATGATTTGCAATGGCTTTCAGGCCTTCTTTCATTACAACACCTTGAAATGCGTCACGTTAATCTTAGCAATGCACTCGATTGGCTACAGGTGACAACCATGCTTCATTCTTTGGTAGAATTACACTTGGCTAGTTGTGAACTTAAATATATTTCTCCTTCAACTCATATTAACTTTCCATCACTTGACCTTTCTGGAAACATTTTTGTGTCTTCTATGCCCAAGTGGATTTTTAGCATGACTCGATTAGTTTTCCTAGATATCAGTCATTGTAACTTTTATGGTCCAATTCCTAGTGGTCTTCAAAACATGACTTCTCTTAGAGTGTTTGATGCATCTTGTAATAATTTAAATTCCTCAATGCCCAAGGAGTTATTTAACCTGAATGGCCTCATTTCCTTACGCTTAGGCTACATTTTTTTTCAAGGACCAATTCCAATTGGTCATTTGAACATGACTAGCCTTAGAGATCTTTATTTGCGAAGGAATGGTTTCGAATCTAACATTCCAAATGGGTTGTATAGCTTTAGTCATCTTCAGTCCCTTGATCTTGAGGAGAATCTCTTGCAAGGAGTAATCTCAAGTGCCATAGGAAACCTAACTTCCCTCGTTAGTTTGGATTTTTCATCCAATCAACTTGAGGGGAGAATTCCAACATCAATGGGACAGCTTTGCAAGTTGAAGGGAATTAATTTATCATTCAACAAATTTGACGGAGAGGTGGGTGAAGTTTTTAGAAGTTTCTCTAGATGTAAATCAGATGGTTTGGAGATGGTGCACTTTGAGAATAATTATCTTTTTGGTCAATTCCCAGATGAACTTGGCCAATTAAAAAATCTAGCCGACCTTTCTCTTTCAAGTAACTCCATTTCTGGTCCCATTCCGATATCAATTGGAAGATTATCATCCTTGACAACATTAGACATTTCCTACAATCAATTGAATGGAACTCTTCCAGAAAATCTTGGGCAACTTGTGAAGTTAGACATGTTGATAATATCTCATAATTTCTTGATGGGTATTGTCTCTGACCTTCACTTTGCCAATCTCACAAGATTAAATATGCTATATGGAGATGGAAATCATCTAACATTAAAAGTAAGTGATGGTTGGGTACCCCCTTTCCAACTTGGATATTTGTCTTTGACCTTTTGGCAACTGGGACACAATTTCCCTTGTGGCTTCAGTCCCAGGGAATGTTACAAGAATTGGAGCTAGCCAACACAGGAATTTCAAATTCCATTCCAACTTGGTTTTGGCCCAAATGTTCCTAATTATTTTATTTGAATATCTCTCGTAATCAAATACGTGGAGATATTCCAAGTATACATGAGGTTTTTGCTCCTTATTCAATGATTGACCTGAGTTCCAACTCCTTCAAAGGTTTATTACCACTCATCTCCTCCAATGCGATTCATCTAGATCTTTCAAATAATTCTTTCTCAGGATCTATTTATCATGCCTTATGTGGTAGAGTGGAGAATTCAAACACATTGAGCGATCTTAATCTTGGTAGCAATAATTTGTCAAGAAGAATTCCTGATTGCTGGAAGCATTGGCAACCTCTGAAAATCGTAAAATTAGAAAACAACAATTTAATTGGCACTATTCCACACTCGATTGGACATTTAGCTTCCCTCAAATCATTGCACTTGCGACATAACAAACTCTCCAGAGAACTACCACAATCTTTACAACATTGTACAAACTTGGGGCTCATTGATCTTGATGGAAATGAATTTACTGGAAGCATACCAACTTGGATGGGGGATTCATTTTTGCAATTGATGGTTCTTAACCTTCGTTCCAATAAGTTTGAAGGTGGCATTCCATATGAACTATGTCCTCTAAGTTCTCTTCAAATTTTGGACCTCGCAGATAATAATCTCTCAAGATCGATGCCAAAATGTTTCTACAATTTTAGAGCCATGGCAGAAAAACATAATTCAAGCAGCCCTATTTCCTATGATGCAATCAGTCCCGCATTTTTGGTGACCAAAGGCACAGAGCTTGAATATACAAAAACTCTTAAATTGGTTACAAGCATGGATCTTTCAGAAAATAATTTATTCGGAGAGATCCCCAAAGGACTTACAAGACTAGTGGGGCTACGATCATTGAATTTTTCCAGAAATCGCTTTACGGGAAGGATCCCAGAGAATATGGGTGATATGGAAGAACTTGAATCTCTAGATTTCTCTTTAAACCAACTTTCTGGTGAAATTCCTTTGTGCATGTCGAGTTTGACATTCTTGAGTCACTTGAACTTGTCTTATAACAATTTGATAGGACGAATTCCTTTAAGTACTCAACTTCAATGCTTCGAGAATGCTAGCTTTGTTGGCAACAAACTTTGTGGACCTCCACTTGCAAACTACGACACAAACAAGGCAATACCTAAAGTTGCAAATGGAGGCAATGAACAGGGGGGAGGGATTTCCAGGAGAGTGGTTCTTTGAGATCTTAACACTTGGATTTGTTGTTGGTCTTTGGATTGTTGTAGGTCCTTTGCTATTCAAAACGTGTTGGAGGATTGCTTATTTCCGATTTCTAGATGGTACTGGGCATGAATTTTACAATTTTTATTTTAAATGTCGTTATATCTTTTATACTTGAAAGAAGTTGTCATTTGTTTCTTCATAAAAATGTTGGTATTGTATTTGATGTGTTTGTAGTTTCAGTTTTATGAGTCGTAAGCTGTTTTTGAGGAGAAGTTATAGTCTATCATTGTAGAAACAGTCGGGCACCCCAGGGGTGGAGTTGAAAGTTGTCATTTATTTATGCACAAAAAAGTCGGTATTGCACTCGATGTGTTTATTGTTTCAGTTTTATAATAAAAAGTGCTCTTAGTGAATTTTAATTTCCATCCCCGTTGTTCTTGCTCCACCTTTTTTTAAAATTTTTTTTTTTTTGGTTAGACAAAAAAGAAAATAAATAGATCAAAGAGAAGTCCTTTGCTCTTGTTTTGTTAGATGAAATGGTGTGTAACGTGTCTTCCTTTTCCTAACACATTTCTTCTGTGTGAAAGGTGTATGAAATATAAATATGTTTTATTTATATTATTTATCTTTTTCATTATAAGAACCAATTGCAGTCTTAATGTTTGCTTTTGTTCTTTCATTCTTCAGTCAATACATTCCATGCAGACTGACTGTAGCAAAGTTTCAAAGGTTTTAAATTACTCAAAAGTTATGTAAGGCAAATAGTGGCCCATATGTCAGTCAATCAATTTTGGATCAATTGCATGGTGTCAATTTAAACAAAAAATTTATACAAATCTTATTGGATTAATTTTATTTTTTCATTTTTTATTTTAATTAGCGAAGAAAAAATATTTATTTGTGAAACCACAACAAATATATAGATAATGGTAAACATTAACAAAGGAGATCTAAGAATGCAAAAAGCATCATAGGTAAATCGCTTCAAAGTAGGTTGGCAGAAGATGGCTAGTGCAATTATATGCAAGCACTCGCCAAAGAAAGAAAATGTTAGAAATTGTCCACCATATAATATTTGTGATACCATACAGTTGTTAAGTTGATTCGAACATATATTTGGATTAAAATCGTTGAGTCTGCAATCTAGTAAAAAACTAATAGGTGTGAGATTGGTTATGGAATTCTTATGTGAATAGTATTACAAATAGTAGAGTGGACTATAGATTTTGGCTGATATTGAGAAGGAAGAAAATAGAGATGTGAGGGGTAAAAAAACATATCGTGAACCGTTGATGTAACAATTTAGACCGAGTCACGTAAATTTATGTGCATAGTTCTAAATCGCGGTATTGGGTAACGTAATGGTATCGATCGTGGAGTATCGGTATCGGTAGTATCGGCCGGTACGTATCGGGAATCGGGTGTCGTGGCCATGAAATTTTAAAAATCATTAGCAATCCCTCTAAAACTGAATTTTATGCATTTTTTTTTACTCTTTTAGCCTTAATTTGTCACGTTTTAACCAAAATTTTGATATGTATGAGCACTTTTGACTCATTTTCAACGAAATGATATGTATTTATTTTAGTCTCAATTATAACTTTTAATTATCTACAATAACAGTTTTCAATTGACAAATATTGTAATTCTAATTTACTTAGTAACAATAATATATTTAAAATAAAAATAAAAATATAATTAGAATAAACCTCTTTAAAAAAAAAAATTCTAAATCTTAAACATCTACACCAAAGCAAGACACAAATAAAAAAAAAAAAAAATATATAGTACAAAAACATAGCACCAAAATAAATAAATAAATAATAAAAACCAATAACAAACCTTTCCACTAATCCAACTTTTGACAAATTGGATTGAACATGTACTTTTCTTATTTTTTTCCCTTCTTCTGCTCAGTAGAAATATATATATATATATATATATATATTAATATAAACAGTGGTGTAGTGTAGCCTGTAGGTGTATAAACAAAGAAAAATGACGAAAAAAAAACCTCTAAACATTCAGCACAAGAACTAAAACAGAGCATAGCAGCAGCAATGGTTCCAAAAAACAGAGCATAGCACAACAACTCACCAAAAACAGAGCATAAACACAAATTATAACTTGCAACTCAGGGACACAAACCGTCTTTGAAGAAGCTTGAAGATCAAAGTGAACACCACAGCCCAAAGAAGCTTAGATCTTGCAGGTTTTCTGCGCTGGTTTTCATCTGTATTGGCGTGTATTGGACTGTATTGTCATATGTATCGGATTCGGGCTGATATGTGTCGGGAATCGGCCAATACGGACGTCAAATCCAATCTTACCGGTATACCGGTGAGTATCCGACTCGGCCCTCCCATTTTCCGATACGAACTGGCCGGTACGAAACGTACCGGCCGATATTTAGAACCTTGTTTGTGTGTAATTATTGTTTCTGTTTGATGGGTGCTTAATATACTTTCATCTGCGTTGGTGGAATATAAAATAAATCCCAATAGGAAGCAACAAGGCTGGTGAGACAACCTAGATTCCAAGAGACTAACACACAATTAAACCAAAACATCAGCAAAAACATACAACAGTCCACCCACCCATTTCTCACATCCACTTACAAGTGACAACTAACAAATATATGACTTATTGTTTGCGAGTCCCATACAAATTGCAATCTCTTCCATAAGATGATAGCTACTATTGTTGAGTCCACACCCAACACGGAGAACTGATAACATGACATTGGCGGTGTTTGGGAACCTTTTAGATAGGTTATTTTAGCCTCAAATTGCAAAAAATCCTTTTAGTCTCAAATTGTCTTGCCTAACCCATTGATTAAAAAAAAATTGGAAAAGCAGCGGCTGTCCAGTAGTACAGACACCTACACTGTCACCAACACAGTGGCCCTATTTGGTAGGGCTCATTTCTAACTTATTTCAGCTTTTAGCTTAATTTAAGTTATTTTGATGTATTTGGTTCAACTTAACAATACAGTTTATAGCTTTTTGTAAGTCAAAAATCAACTTATTCTTTGAGTGGGGAAGGAGAAGCTTAATTTATAAGTAAAAAATCAGCTTATGTTCACAGCTATAAGCTATAAGCTGTTAGGTTATAAGTTATAATCACTTTCCCATAACTCTACCAAACGGGGCCAGTGTAAGCTTCAGACAGTTAAATGACGATTTTACCCCTATAGATCAATTTTGGAAAAAATAAAGTTAGAGGCAAATTTGTCATTTCAACCTTAAACATCATTTCAAACACATTTTTCAATATAACAATCAATTCAAAAATTTAACCCAACTTCCCAAATACAAACTAAAATAGTCAAAAAACCAAAAATTTTTAAAAAAAGCCACTTCCCAAACACCCACAAAGCCACTTCCCAAAAAGCTTAACCAAATACAACTTTCAAAGAAGCCTAAGCTAAAGCAGCCAATGAAGGTGTCCATAAACTTTCACAGCTTCACATCTAGTCACTACAAGAAATGTCACTTTTGGCTACCAAAATATTGGTCGCCAAAAGTCACTTATTTAGTCGCTGGAAACCCCAAAAAAAAACAACACCCTTTTTAAAAAAAAAAAAAAAAAAAAACCTAAAAGCTAAAAATTTAAAAACTACACACACAAAAGTGTTTGGAATGAACCCAAATTTGGTTTAATTTTTCAAAAATTATATTTGGATGGGCTTTCATTTGTCTTTATATATATATATATATATATATTTTCATTTTATAATCGATTTTTTTTAAAACTTTTTAGATACATTAAGATTTGACGCATATAAAATATTAAAATATATATATCTATTGAAAATATTAAAAAAATTCATTAAAAACAAACAAAAACCTGAACAAAAAAGCACAAAGATTTTTGTTCGGATTTTCGTTTGCTTTTAGTGATTTGTTTTTTCTTTATATATACATATATATATTTTAGTCAATTTATTTTACATTTTAGATGCATCTAGATTAAGTACGCGCTTGGAGCGCACATGCTTTCGCTATCATTCGGGTGCCAACCTAATTAGGATTCGTATAAAAATAAATAAAAATTCATCTAAAAATATTTCTTTTAAAAATCAAATCAAATCAAATGGAGCCAACGAATTTATTATGACAAAATGATGAATTTACTCTCTTTGTCACCATCTAAACCACCCATGTGCGACACATGTTCAAGAGAAGTTATTTGGTGGTCCTTGGCTATGGCCATGTAGTATCCCAAGTTATGATTGGTAAAAAGGATATGACTTATGATTTTATATAGAATGATTGGGCAATAGAAGAAAGCATGATACATTATAATTGGTCAAAAGCAAAGCTACGCGATGCCCCTAGACCACAATGAAATTTTTCCATGCTCAAAGCCAAGGATAAAATGGAAAAACAATAAGAAAAACTCGCGATGTGACATCATATTTTATAGTTTTCAAACTAAAAAGGTCAACAAGTAAGTAAAGATGAGTATGGTACAGTTTGGTTTGATTTTGAAGTAAATCAAAATTAAGTTACTATCTATAGTTTTACGAAATTTGAAATCAAATCGAGCTGTGTAAATCTTGAGGTCAAACCAAACTGAATCATGAAAGTATAGTTCGATTTGATTTAAAATTACGATTTTAATAAACTTTGTCATTATTCACAATATAATTATAACAAAATCAAATACCAAATAATGTGCTATCATTTTACAAATCAGAATTATTTAATGATTGTTTTGAATAGTTCTATAATTATACAACGAGAAAATATCATTTTGTCCTAAAATTATCACTCAAAAATCAATCAAACTATTATACTTTCAATTATATCAATTGTACATCTAAACTATTCAATTTTGAATCAATTTCAACCCTACTATTAGTTTTCGTCTATCATTAGATGACACTTGTTGATGTGAAATCAAATTTCATTTAAAACATCATCCCGCCCCCTCCCCCCCCCAAAAAAAAAAAAAATTATCCCTCATAAATCAATTAAACCCCTAATATAGATTTTTTTTTGAAA